CTTCGGACTCACGACATTTATGAACCTAGATATTTGATACCAACTTGTCACGACCCAAACATCCCTCCGAGATATGTCATGACGGCACCTTGTCTCTACGACTAGGTAAGCCTAACAGATTGCAAAAATACAAATAATGGAGGCAAAAGTAAACAGCTAGCTGCATTAGGTACTGAATAACCAATAATAATGCCGCTAGGCATGAAAAATATCCAAAACACTAGACGTACACAATTTTCCCAAAATCCGAAACATTATGAGTCACAAACTACAGAAAGAAAAATAATATCTCTATACTCTAGAGTCTAACAAAAGAAAATACAAAAAGTGTTTGACATGGGGAAGAGTAGAAAGGGACCCCAAGGCCGGCGGACGCGGCAGATATACCTTAATGTCTTCAATCATGTCTCGGCTCAGTGATAATGTGGTTGATAAGAAGTACCTAGATCTGCACACAAAAATATGTGTAGAAGAGTAGCGTGAGTACACCATAATAGGTACGTAGTAAGTGCCAAGTCTAACCTCGGTCGAGTAGTGACGAGGTCATGTCAGGGGACCACTTGTATATATATATATATATATATATATAAAATAAAATAAAACAGAGCAAAATATTGTAGTATAATAGAAGACTGAAATGAAACAAGAAGGAAATCACAGAACAATACAGCACAGTGTACAGAACAACAATAGGGGATCTCCCGAGATACCGTTTCGTAGTCCCAAAAGTAAATGTACAGGGGGATCTCTTGGAATACCGTTCCGTAGTCCCAAAAGTAATTGTGCAGGGGGATCTCCCGGGATACCGTCCCATAGTCCCAAAGTAATTATGTATGGGGGATCTCCCGAGATACCGTCCCGTAGTCCCAAAGTAAATGTGCAGGGGGGTCTCCGAAATACTGTTCCGTAGTCCAAAAGTAAATATGCAGCTCAAACAATAACAGTAACAGTTACAACAGAGATCCTACATTTAGACTAAGTTCAATTCAATAGAAAAGAAGGAAAATTCACTAGGTATGCTGCACAGAGTTCAGGTAAGCACTTAAGACACGTAGACATACTATTATAAGCTAAACATGATAATTTCACATGCTATTAAAACTCAAATAAGAAGAAACAGGCTATTACTCAGTGAAAATCGGATTTTACAACAAATAGCCCGTGTACGTACTCGTCACCTCACGTACACGATGCTCACATATCAAAACAGTACTATATCCTAAGGGGATTTCCCCCACATATGGTTAGGCAAGCCACTTACCTCGAACCAAGCTTAAATCAATCCGTAACAATGCTTTTACCACGAATATCCAACTCCGAATGACCCAAATCTTGCCAAAATAAATTACATATCATAAATATAACTACAAGAAACTAATCTAGCTAATGAAATCAAAGCTAAAGCAAGAAATTGGAAAATCGCCCTAAAAGTCTCCCTGGGCCCACATCTCGGAATCGGGTAAAAGTTACAAAATATGAACACCCGTTCACTCACGAGTTCATTCGTACCAGAATTACTCCCGATACAAAATCTCGATCAAAACCCCAAAATCAGGCCTAAGAACTTTTCCCAAATTTTTCCCAATTTTCCACCCCATGTCACTAATTTCATGATGAAATTAAAGACAAAATCATCGGAATTAACCAAAACTAGGTACGAATCACTTACCCCAAACACCCACGTGAAAATATCTCTAAAAATTGTTAAAATTTCGAGTTCTCAAGTCGAAGTGGTGAAAAATGACATAAACCCTCGATTTTGAACTTTTATGTCTCCCCGAGTGCTCCCTTATTCGCGAACACAACCATCTCCTCGCGTTCACGTAGAACAAAAATTCACTGATCGAAATTCCTCTTTCACGAACGCGAGTGCCCTCTCGCGAACGCATAGCTTCACTTGCTGGGTCCTTCGCGAACGCGATCTCCTCTATGCGAACGCGTAGAACAAATCCTTGGGGTTCCCAGCTGCTCCACTTCCTCTACGTGAACGCGATGTCCTTCACACGTCCATGATAAACTGATGGCCAAACCTTCGGGAACGCGTCCCAATCTTCGCAAATGCTAAGAACAACTTTCGCTCCAATCCCAGCTCCTATTCGCGAACGCGGGACCTCTCTCACGAATGCAAAGAAGGAAACCAGAGCTGGAGACTTCAGCAAAATCTGCAATTTTTTCTTAAGTCCAAAAGGTTTGTTAACCAGCCGAAATCAACCCGAGGCCCTCGGGACCTCAACCAAAGATACGAACAAGTGCAAAAACACCATACAAACTTAGTCGAGACCTCAAACAACATCAAACAATGCTTAAAATCACGAATCATCCTCCAATTTAAACTTGAAGAACTTGAAACTTCAAATTTTCACAACCGATGCCAAAACCTATCAAACCACGTCCGATTGACCCCAAATTTTGCACACAAGTCATATTCAACACTGCGGACCTATTTTTACTTTCAGAATCAGATTCGGACCTTGATATTAAAAAGTCCACTGCCGGTAAAAATCTCCAAAAATTCAACTTTTGCCATTTCAAGCCTAATAAGCTGCAGAACTCCAAAACACAATCCGGATACGCCCCTAAGTCCAAAATCACCCAACAGAGCTAATGGAAATGACAGAACTCCATTCCGGTGTGATCTTCATGTAGTTCTAACTACGGTCAAAATCCTAAGGCTTAAGCTTCTATTTGGGGACTAAGTGTCCCAAAACACTTCAAAAACCAAAACAAAACCTCACGGCAAGTCACATAAGCTGAAACGGATATCGAACAAGTAGTAAAAGGGGGATCGGGGCTAATACTCTCAAAAAGACTAGACGGATCGTTACAGTTATAAAGTAGTTAAGCTGTCAATCATGGTAGATAACATGTTGAGGCTTTATGCCGATACTTTTGGGACCCATAGTGGTCGTTTCTTGCTGTCATCTGACTAATTTCATTGATATTTCGTATTCAGTCATGTACATGCAATTTATGTCATATTTCAGTCTCAGTTATTATTTATTAGTACATCATATCATTGTTTAGGGCTAGTTTTAAAGATATTGTGAGCCCGTGAGTGAGATTGGAGAGATTGATGATTCAGCGAGGCCGAGAGACTGATTATGAGTGATAGTTATGGGATAGAGATGCACGCCGCAACGATTATACTGATTTATGATAGCGTTTGGGCTGTATGAGCCCCTCTGGAGTCTGTACACATCCCCAGTGAGTGCGGTTGATATTATTGAGGGATGAATCTTCCCTTGACATGGATCTTGTCCGAAGTACTCGAAACCCGGAGATGGATCTTCTCCAAAAAGCTAGATTACCCTTCCTCGGTACTGGGTGACTTATAGTAAGTGATGTATATGTTCCGGGATGGATATTTCCTGGGCCGTATGGGCCATATACAGTACCGAGTGGTTGAGCATTCGAGAGTGTGAGCACATAAGGCTGACAACATGGTGCATCCCATACGACATGTGCATTGGCATTGTGATGACCCAAAAAGTCATCACTTGTTTTAGAAACAAATTCAGTGTTCCGAGGCCTAAAAACCTCTTTTTTGCCTCACCTCAATTTGAGTGCGTATTTCGGGCACGTAACCGGAAAGCCGTAATATGAAAATCTGTGGAAAATAATGAATTTTGCCTTTAAAATAAATTTAAGTTGACTTCAATCAACACTTTGAGCAAACGAACCTGAATCAGTATTCCGACGATCCCGGGAGATCCGTAAGAAAATATGAGACTTGGGCGTATGCCCGGAATCGGATTCCGAGCTCCCATGCCCGAGAATTGAATTTTTAAAGAAAATTGTTTTCTGAAAAATATATGAGTTTTTGAAGATGAAATGTGTTTGAAATTTGATGGTAGCGGGCCCGTATGTTGGTTCTGGAGCCCGGTACAGGTCTTATATGTGATTTAAGTTGAGTTTGAGAAGTTTGGTAAGAAACGGACTTGAAAAGACATGAATCGGACCCTATTTGAGAAAAGTAGAAAATTTGATGTTCTTAAGTGATTCCATGATTTTGATGCTAAATTCATAGTTGTTGATGTTATTTTGGTGATTTGAATGCACGAGCGAGTCCGTATGATGTTTTTGGACTGGCGTACATGTTTGGTTTGGAGCCCCGAGGGCTCGAGTGAGTTTCGGATAGGCCACGGAGTGGAATTTAGATGCATTTTCAGCCATTTTTCATAACTTCTCAAAACATAAACACTCTAAGGCGATTTTTCAAAGGCAATTTCTTCTCCCAATCGAATGTAAGTTATTTCTAACTCGCTTTCTTCAATCTTTAACATGTTTTCACATGATTTTAACTCAAAATCAAAGGTTTTCATGGGGGAAATTGGGTGTTATGGGTAGAACCTACGTTTTTCAAATTTTGGGGATTTGGACCTCGATTTGAGGTTCGATTTAAAAACGAATTGTATATTTGAGTTCGTGGGTGAATGGGTAATCGGGGTTTTGTTTCGAACCTCGGGTTTTGACCAGTGGGCCTGGGGGCGATTTTTGTCTTTTTGGGGAAAACTTTAGAAAACTTATTTTCATGCATTATAATTGATTCAATTAGCATTTATTGATGTGATTAAGTAACTTGTGGCGTGTACTTCTACTTCCAAGTTGAAAATCTAATTCTCTCGGCGCACAATAGCATGAAAACCGTTTCTCTCGGCGCACAATAGCAAAGCTTGCAATTGTCACCGGTATTAATGGCGCGGTGTTGGAAAACCTTGCATGGAACTATTACACAGACGGAGAAGATGATTACTCCAGCAAATGGCGTTCAATTGGAATTACCTCCCTTAACTTTTGGTAGTTTTCTTCCACAAAAGTATCAATCGATTGAGGAAGGACATGAAACTAGTAGCTCTGAAGGTGAAATTCAACTGCAACCGGTAAAAATGGAAGAAGTGATGAAATCTACAGTGAAGTGCTTACAATTCTCAGAAGCGAGTGGATCGGAGAAGCCAACACCTACGATAACTGATATCGTTTGAGGAAATCATAGCTCACAAATGGGGAGAACACTGTCATATGTACCTCCAATTGATAGAGATGGTAAGAAAATAGTTAAATTGTGTGAGGAAGATTTACAATCCTTAGAGGATTACTGGAAAAATGCTTTAATTGGCTATATAATTGGAGAAAATCCTTATGAGAAAGCTATGGAGAATATTGTGATGAGTGTTTCGAACTGTGTTACAAAACCTCAGATCCTATTGCATGCGGAGGGATATTGTATTTTTCGAGTTAACACCATAGCTGATAGAGATCCTGTCCTGCAATCAGGACCTTACTCGTACAGGAACAAACCTATGGTATTGAAACTATGGGAAATTGATTTTTCATTCAATAGTGATGTTCTCAGTACAATTCCTGTATGGGTTAGGTTTCCTGGGCTGCCAGTGGGATTTTGGTCGACCGAAGCTCTTAGCAAGATGGCTAGTGCAATTGGCAAACCACTGTACACTGATAAGTTTACTGCTCACTTTGAGAAGATTTCCTATGCTAGAATCCTTGTGGAAACAGATGCTGCTTATCCCTTACCAGATCAGATTGAGATAGAAACACCTTGTGGTCCAAAGGTACAAGCGATTGAGTATGACTGGAAGCCTAGTTTCTGTAACGATGCTTAAAATTTGGACATGATTCTATGGACTGTTGGTATAACACAAAATGTGATGCTGCGCAGAAGATAAAGGAAGGGGGTGGGCATTAAAGACAGAGGAGAAGAGGAAAGAAGCAGGGGAGGAATGTGAAGCAGGCCTGAATAGTCAAACAACATCAAGTGACTGCAGTTACTCAGGAAGATGAAATGACAGCACAGGAAAATACACAAGTGAAAAGCTGTGTAGTAAATGTGAATGATAGTAAGGAAAATGCACAACAGACTACTTATGTGTCAACTGATCTACAGGGGACTGTCTATAAGGATGCTGAGATGGGAAAACAGATTGAAAAGGGCAAAAATATAGAGATAAATAAGGTGGAAGGGAGAAGTGGCCAACAAATTGATCTAGGACCACCAGACCCTCTAATATTCAAATAATCATTGTTACATGGAACATTAGGGGGCTTAATCAAGTCCATAAGCAAAAAGAGGAAAAAATCTTATTGCTACAAATAAAGTAGATATTATGGCATGTATAGAAACTAGAGTAAAGGAGCATAAAGCAAAGAAAATACAAAAAAAGATAGCTACTGAGTGGAATGTGTGCTGCAATTACTCATGTGCTGTAAATGGAAAAATCTGGTTATTATGGAAAAGTCCTATTCAAGTGATAATTAGTCACATGACTGATCAATTTATCCATTGTAGCATTGAAGACCCTAGAACTCAGTTCAAGGCACAGCTTAGTGTCATCCTTGCACAGAATGATGGACATAAGAGGAAAGTTTATCGAGGGATCTAAGGCAGATTAACATCTCAAGTCAAGAGACATGGCTACTGAGTGGTGACTTTAATAATGTTCTATCATCAGAAGACAGGATAGGATCTCCTGTTACTGCTGCTGAAGTAGTGGGATTTAAAGGGATGATTGATGATTTGCGACTTACCCCACTGAGGGCAAAAGGGTGGCATTATACTTGGACAAATAAGCAAGGAACTGGGAGTAGAGTGTATAGCATGATAGATTGGGCACTAGGAAATTATCAGTGGATTCAGCAATATGGGCATGTGGAAGCAGATTATATGAATCCATTAGTGTCTGATCATTCTCCTATTCTTATAAAATGTGGCAGCCAGAAATTACTACATCCTAAACCTTTCAGACTATACACAAATGTTATGGACCATCCACAGTTTCAGAATATAGTCCAACAGACATGGGAAAAGGAGTATGAAGGAGTACCTATGCAGAAGATATGGTGCAAATTAAAGAATCTAAAAGAACAGCTTAAGGGGGTAAATGCTTATATGGCTTCTTACAGGCAGAAACTTGAACAGGCAAGAGAGAAATTGGATATTGTGCAATGTCATATGAAGAAGAATCCTTTGGCACAGTCCCTTATAAATGAAGAGAAAGAAGCAATAGGTGAAATAGAAAAATGGAGTAAAGTGGAGGAGCAAGTTCTGAGACAAAAATCAAAGGCAAGCTGGATTGAGTGTGGTGATGCTAATACTAAATACTTTCATGCACAATGGAAGATTAGGGCCAGCCAAAACAGTATAACTACCATTTACACAGATACATGGGTGAAATTAACAGAAGCTAGTCTTGTTGAGAAGGAATTCATAACTGTATTTCAATCCTTAATGGGTGAGAGTGCTGGAGAACTACCATGTCCAAATACAGCTGTAATAAAGGAAGGGCCATGCTTAAATGTGGATCAACAAAGAACATTGATCCAAATGGTGACAATGGAAGAGATCACTGAAGCAGTCAAGGACATGCCTAAAGACAAAGCACTAGGGGTTGATGGATTTCCTGGGGAATTCTTCACAAGAAACTGGGAGGTAGTGAGAGAGGATATCTTTGAAGCTGTTAATGATTTCTTCAATACAAATAGATTACCTAGTGAGATAAATACAACAACTATTACACTGGTGCCGAAAGTGAAAGTCTCAGCAACAGTCAAAGACTATAGGCCAATTGCTTGCTGTACTACCATGTACAAAATCATCTCTAAAGTCACTACAAGGAGGATAAAAGGTGTGCTTGAAGGGCTGATTGATCAGTCACAATCAGTTTTCATTGAAGAAAGGAGTATAGTGGATAATATTTTGCTAAGCCATGAGTTATTCAAAGGGTATGCTAGAAAAGGAGTCTCTCCCAGATGTGTGCTAAAAGTGGATCTAAGGAAAGCATATGACACTTTGGAATGGAATTTTCTAAAGCAAATACTTATAGACATTGGATTCCTATGCAAATTTGTATAATGGATAATGACTTGTGTTACTACAGTATCATATTCATTGGTGATAAATGGAGGATTGACTAAACCTTTTAAGGGGAAGAGAGGAATTAGACAAGGAGATCCTATGTCTCCTTACTTATTTGTTATTGCTATGGAGTATCTGAGTAGAGAGCTAAAACAGTTGCACAAGAATGGGGATTTTAACTACCATCCAAAGTGTAGAAAACTGAACAGCACACATGCGTGCTTTGCTGATGATTTGCTAATGTACTGTCGAGCTGATATGGAGTCCATAAGGATTCTAAACAATGCTTTTTACAGGTTTTCACAGGCTTCTGGATTGCAGGCAAATGCAAGTAAGAGTGCTATTTACATGGCTGGGATAGATCAGAAGGCTAGAGAAGAAATCCTACAAACATTGGGATTTAATGAAGGAAAACTACCTTTTAGATACTTGGGTATTCCATTAGAGTCAAAAAAGCTAACTATTGCTCAATACTTGCCACTAGTTGAGAAGATAACAACAAAAGTTACATGCTGGTCAGCAAAGCTTTTATCCTATGCAGGAAGGTGTCAATTGATAAAGGCAGTCATATTTGGAATACAGACATACTGGGCACAGGTGTTCATCATCCCAAAGAAGGTTCTGAAATTGATAGAAACCATTTGCAAAACATTTCTATGGACAGGCAGTGCAGCTATCTCAAAGAAGGCATTAGTATCTTGGGAAAATGTATTTAAACCAGTGGCAGCTGGTGTCCTCAATATACTAGACATCAAGGTATGGAACAAAGTAGGTATTACTAAGCACTTATGGGATCTAACTAGAAAGAAGGACTGTTTGTAGATTCGTTGGGTTCACAGTTTCTATATAAAGAAAAGAGATCTGGACATAATGCCTACTCCTAAGGCAGCAGCCTGGGTAATCAGAAAGATAATTGATAGCAGGGAAGTGATTATGGGGCAGCAGCAACTCCAAGGAACCTTGCAAGATAGATTAAAGAGTCTATGCAAGAATGGGAAATATTAAATCAAGCAGGTGTACCTGAAGATGATCCCAGAATATTGCAAAGTGGAATGGAAGGGCTTAATGTTGCATACAAGTATACATCCAAGAGACAGATTCATTTTGTGGCTTGCAGTACAGAGGAGGCTGGCAACAGTTGATAGATTGCTGAAAATTGATATCAAAGTACCACCAAACTGTATTTTCTGCAAGCATGGTGTAGAAACCTTCAACCATTTATTCTTTGAGTGTCCAATAACAAACAGGTTGTGGACTAAACTATGTTCTTGGCTGGGACATAAAAGAAAAATAGGTGACTGGGAATGTGAGCTGGAATGGATCAGCAAGAAGGCAAAGAGCAGGGCAGGTATAAATAGCATAACATGTTGTGTTTTTGCCATGACAGTTGCAATGATATGGAGAGAAAGAAACAAAGGCAGATTTGAGGATGACAAATATGATGAATATCAAATCTGCAAAGAAATAATCTTGCATATTCATATTTGAGGGCAGCATAACAAAAAATGCAGAGAGTTGATGCAGAAATTGGATTGGATTCCATGAAGAACAAATGTATAGATAGAAATAGATATATAGATGAGATACTAGTGTCTGTATTGGTAGATATAGTTGTTTAGACACTTTGATATCAAAGACATAGAAGAACTGATGTAAAAGAGTAGTAGTAAGTCAAAACTACTACTAGGAACAAATTGTAACATTTTTTAGTATTAATGAAACATAATTTTAACTAAAAAAAAAAGTAACTTGTGGCTAGATACGAGCGAATTGGTGGTGGAATCAAGAGGTAAAGCGATAGTTGAGACTTGAATTGTGTTCGTGGCATCGAGGTAAGTGTTTGGTCTAACCTTAGCTTGAGGGATTAGGATTTGAGTCCTATTTGCTATGTGTTATTTGTTGAGTACGATGTATAGGCATGGTGACGACTATCTATACGTTGGTGTCAAGCATGCCCGTGAGTCTTATATTATGTTTATTATGACTCCGTTTGTATCGTTCATGCCTTTTGTGATGGTTTCTATTGTTGAGTAAAGTTTGTGGGAGTAGTAGTGGTATTTGAATATTGGAGAGCGTTGGCTCAAGTTGTAAAATGAATTGTGGAAGTATAAATAGCAATTGAACCTTATAGAGTATTGGCTCAAGTTGTGAAGTAAATATGAAAAGGAAAAGAGAAGAGGATTATTCTGTTGTTCCCTTGCTAGGATTTTATTGTGATTTCATTTATTTCCTTGCCCTTATTTCTTGTGATGAGTGTTTTGGTAAGAGAGTGTCAAAGCACGAAGGGTGATGCCGTGCACTTGTCCCTGAATTTCCTGAATCTTGCTGATAATTGAGTTATGTCGTCATTTATGTTTATTTACTAATTTCCCGTTGTTACTTGATTTTATTATGATGTTATTGATTCCCTTGCCAGTTCATTATTGTTCCCTTATTGTTCCCTTGTCAGGGCTCCTTTGTGATTTGGCGTTGAATTGTATATTGGGAACGGGTTGCACGCCGCAACAATATTATATTTGGATCGGGTTGCACGCCGCAACAATATTATATTTGTATCGGGTTGCACGCCGCAACAATATTATATTTGGATCGGGTTGCACGCCGCAACAATATTATATTTGGATCGGGTTGCACGCCGCAACAGTGATAAATGATATGGATCGGGTTGCGCGCCGCAACAGTATTTTCATGATTTAGATCGGGTTGCGCGCCGCAATAGTAGATAATAAAAGGTGTTTATTGGTTGGTTAC